GGCCACAACAGTTCAGAGACCAAAGTTGCGAGGATGTCTCAGGCGAAACGGGCCCGACCACCTCGCACGCGGCATCTCTGAGCCTGGAGTTGCGAGGATGTCCCAGGCGAAACAGGCTGGACCACCTTATGTCAGAGTATCCCTGAGCCCGCGCGCGACTTCTTGGAGCCCAGAGTTGCGAAGATGTCGCAGGCAAAATTAGCCGGACCGCTTCGCACGCGGCATCTCGGAGCCCAGAGTTGCGAGGAGGTCTGAGGCGAGTTTGACTGGGCCACCTCGCGCCTGGCATCTCGGATCTCAGAGTTGCGTGAATGCCCCGGGCGAATGGGGCCAGACCGCCTCAGGTCAGGGCATATCTGAGCCCAGAGTTGCGAGGATGTCACAGGCGAATCGTGCCGGACCAACTCAGTCAGAGCATTTCCGATCCCAGAGTTTCGATGATGCCTCTGGCCAAACGGGCCCGACCACCTCGCACGCGGCATTTCTGAGCCTGGAGTTGCGAGGATGTCCCAGGCGAAACAGGCTGGACCACCTTGTGTCAGAGTATCCCTGAGCCCACGCGCGACATCTTGGAGCCCAGAGTTGCGAAGATGTCGCAGGCAAAATTAGCCGGACCGCTTCGCACGCGGCATCTCGGAACCCAGAGTTGCGAGGAGGTCGGAGGCGAGTTTGACTGGGCCACCTCGCGCCTGGCATCTCGGATCTCGGAGGTGCGTGAATGCCCCGGGCGAATGGGGCCAGACCACCTCAGGTCAGGGCATATCTGAGCCCAGAGTTGCGAGGATGTCACAGGCGAATCGTGCTGGACCAACTCAGTCAGAGCATTTCCGATTCCAGAGTTTCGATGATGCCTCTGGCGAAAATGGGCCAGACCACCTCGCGAGAGGTATCTCGGAACCCAGAGCTGCGAGGAGGTCTCAGGCGTAGTGGGCCCGAACCACATTAATCCAGGACATATATGAGCCCGGATTTGCAAGGATCCTCAGGCGAGCCGGGCCGCACCTCTTCGCGCGCGGCATCTGGGAGCCCAGAGTTGCGAAGATGTCTCAGGCGAAATTGGCCAGACCACCTCGCGCGCGGCATCTCGCAGAGTTGAGGAGAATGTCTCAGGCGAGAATGTCTGAAATAAGCTTTTCCAGATCACCTCGCGCTCGGCATGTCTGAGCCAAGAGTTGCGAGTATGTCTAAGGCGAAACGGGCTGGACATCCTCAGGTTAGGGGCATATCTGAGCCCAGAGTTGCGAGGACGTCTCAGGCGAAATGGACTGGACCACTTCGCGCGTGGCATCTTGGATCCCAGAGTTGCGAGGATGAGTCAGGCGAAATGGGCCAGGCCACATTGCCCCTGGCAGCTCGGAGCCCAGAGTTGCGAGGAACTCTCAACGCAACGCAACGCAGCGCAATGGGAAGTGACGCAACAGAAATGCAATCCCATGCGTTGTAATGCAATGCCATGCAATGCCATGCAATGCAATGCAATGCAATGGCATTCCATGCAAGTGCAATGCAGCATATGCATAATGCAAGTGCAGATGGGCATGAGACAGAGGCTTCCACTGTGGGGGATGCGGGATAAAAAGAGAGAGAGAGAGAAAGAGAGAGAGAGAGAGAGAAAGAGAGAGAGAGCGAGGGAGAGAAGGAGCGCGATGAGGAGGATGTGGAGTTGTTTTCCAGGTCTCTCCGTGCAACTTGGCATGAACCACCGTGCAACACCAGTAGCAGGAGGCGGGGCTGGCAACAGGATCAAGCACATCGGAAGCGAACTTAGCAGGAACACGACGAGGGCCGCCGAAAGCCGCCGAGGGACGCCGAAGGCCGCCAGGGGCTGCCGAAAGCCACCGACGGCCGCTGAAGGCCGCCGAAGGGCGACGAGGCAGAGGAGGGGGGGGAGGAGGAGGAGGAGGAGGAGGAGGAGGAGGAGGAGGAGGAGGAGGAGGAGGAGGAGGGGGGGAGGAGGAGGCAGGAGGAGGAGGAGGAGGAGGAGGAGGAGGAGGAGGAGGAGGAGGAGGAGGAGGAGGAGGGGGAGGAGGAGGCGGAGGAGGAGGAGGAGGAGGAGGAGGAGGAGGAGGAGGGGGAGGGGGAGGAGGCAAGGAGGAGGAGGAGGGAGAGGACGAGGTGCTAGTAGGACGTGAAAAGAGGAAGGAAGGGGAGGAGGACGAGGAGGAGGAAGTGGAGGAGGAGGAGGAGGAGGACGACGAGGAGGAAAAACAAGACCAGCAGCAGGAGGCGGAGCTGACAACTGGATCAAGCACATCTGGGGCCCACTTAGCAGAACAGAAGCCCACTTAGCAGGAACACGACTAAGAGGAAACAGAAGCGCAGAGCACGCTCGATCCTCGGACCTGGATCTCCGAGCCCCCCTTCCTTTCCCGTGCCCTTCGACGTTGCGAGGCACGTCGGCGCCAAGACCTTGTAAGCAGTGGCGAAGCGTCCCGGCTGGCCTAGGCCCACCAAAGACTGCTCTAAGAATTGCTTGTGGTCTGGACGGAATGTTCTCAGCACATTTCTGGCCGGGACTGTCTCGTTCTTGTCCTGAGAACATGGTCTTTGATCTTCGAACATGTCTGGGGGTCCCGGAACGTGTCGTGGCAGGCCTACCGGGATGCCGGGACTTGGCGGGATGCAAACGGGGGGATACGTCCAGGGGGGGAGAGAGGCGCAACTGGGGTCCAAATTGTACCCACGCCCCACGGAAAAGCTACAAATTGTACCGACGCCACGCAGACAAGGTACAAATTGTACTCTGACAACGTCTGCGACATGGGGGGATCAGGACATGGTCAGAGCCCCGAATCATCCGGGGTAACTCGGGTCAGGGCTAACTCGGGTTCCTTTTCCGGGAATCCGAGCCCGAGTTACCCCGGACCCGAGTTACCCCGGATAACTCGGGCGTCCAGAGCCCCGAATCATCAGGGGTAACTCGGGTCAGGGCTAACTCGGGTTCCTTTTTCGGGAATCCGAACCCGAGTTATCCCGGGCCCGAGTTACCCCGGATATTTCGGGCGTCCAGAGCCCCGAATCATCAGGGGTAATTCGGGTCAGGGCTATCTCGGGTTCGTTTTTCGGGAACCCAAACCCGAGTTACCCCGGACCCGAGTTACCCCGGATAACTCGGGCGTCCAAATCTCAGGGATTCGCCCTCAAAAAATAAGGGAATCCCTAAGATTGGCATCGTGATGAGGAGGTGCCCAGCATCAGGGATAGGGATGTGTTCCAGGCTGGTAAGGATGCTCGCAGATCTCCGGCTTTCTCCTCAAGGGAGGGGGAGCGAGAAATAGAGAACGACATAAACAGAAGCTGAAGTCGGGCCAGTCCCTCCACCGGAGGAACAGTCAAGAACAATCCAAAAGTAGTCTGGGGACGATGTTTCGACTAGTTTTGGCTTTTGGAGAACTTTTTTACTATTTTTGAATTTTCGTCCAAAATCCCCCTGTGGGAGGACATGCCCGACCTAAATATAAACTGTTGGCGCTCCGCGCGGATTTCTCGGATCCGCGCTGGGAGCCCTGGCGGCGTCTCTAGCGCCGCCCCTGGCGCGCTCCGCGCGACAGAGAGGGGGCCCAGCGCGGATCCGAGAAATGCACGCGGAGCGCCAAAAATTTATGTTTATGTCGTTGTTTCTTCGTCTAGGAAAACCACCTGGACCCGATGATTGGCGTTTGCTAAGCTGCCCTTGGCATTCACTAAACAGCCTTGCCCTGTTCGATTCCTTCCCTAGGTGCGTTTACTGAACGGCTTCGCTTGTCGGGATGATTCTTATGTGGGTAGATTTCTGATATCTATAGTAACTATAGTATGTTAATGTCATTGGTCGCTCCCGTACCAGGGGTGGGAGGAGAAGCGGAGGTGCATGGGCGCGGCCGATGGAAAGATGGCAGACGAGGGAGGGGACATGAGGGCGGACGAATCAGGGAGGACGAGGAGGACGAGGGCGAGGGCGAGGGCGAAGACGAGCTCAGCCCCCCCCGTCCCCCCCAAGCTAGCCTTTCCTCCTTCCGACCCCGATCTATCCATACCCCTCTCATCCTTGTGCCCCCTGCATTCGTTCTCCTCTGCTTTCCGCCTCTCGCTCTTTCCCGCCTCCAGTCGTTTCCCTCCCCTCTTGCCCCTTTCCTTATGACCTCCTGCCCATGCTTCTATCCATCGGTCTCCTACTCATCTTCTCACGCGTCTATCCCTCCGCCCTTCGGCTCCTCCATGTGTTCCGTCACTCTTCCCCCTCCCTCCCTCTAGTATCTCTCCACTTCTTCACCCCTTCACCCTCCACTTTTGCGTCCGTCGCACCTGCGCTCTCGCTGGCTCTCTCGCTGATTGTTGTTTATTTCTCTCTCTCTCTCTCTCCCCGTTTCTCTTTCTCTCTCTCTCTTTCTCTCTCTCTCTCTCTTGTTGTGCGTGTGCTTGTTGCTCTGTCCCTCCCCCCTATCTCTCTTTCTCTGTCTGCTTGTGTGTCTGCCTATCTGAGCGCATGCGGGTCCGGCTGCGCGCGCTAGCTCCGCGCTGCTCTGCTCGGTTCGCTCCGCCTCGTTGCCCGCGAGGCCGCGATCGCCGAAGTGCTCATGGCTGTCTGTCTCTGTCTCTCTCTCTCTCTCTCTTTCCCTGACTGTGCGAATCAAGAGGAGATCTGCGCCATGGTAAGGGATGAGAGGGAGGGGTAGGACGTCAGATATGACGCGAGCGCACCTAGCTTGCCCCTTCCCCCATCGCTCCCCCCTCCTCTCCCCTCACCCCCGCCCCCTCCGCCCCCTTCCTTCTCTCGAAGAAGAAGTTCGCCATAAACATCATTTCTTTGGCGCTTCGCGCGGATTTCTTGGATCTGCGCTGGACCCCCCTGGCGGCGCCTCTGGCGCCGCCCCTGGCGCGCTCCGCGCGCCATGGAGGGGGGTCCAGCGCAGATCCAAGAAATCCTCGCGGAGCGCCAAACAAATATGTTTATGGCGTTTTATCTTGTTCTATTTCCTCACTCCCTCTTCTCTCGTTTCTCTGGCAGCGTCTCCGGAGAGGCGACAGTGCAGCTGGACATCGTCGGCTACAGCACCGCCATGCACATCTACAGCAGGAGCGGCAGGTGGTTGGCGCTCGCCGAAACAGCCTCGGCCGAGGGGGTGGACCGAGACGGGGTGCCTCGAATGTTGACGGCAGCAGTGGGTGTCTGTTCACGGCTGACCGACTGAGCGCCCCAGCAGTCCGTTGACGCGGAGAGCGCCTTGCGGGTCTGTGCGCCGGGCAGGTGCAGAGTGAGGAGGAGGAGGAGGAGGAGGAGGAGGAGGAGGAGGAGGAGGAGGAGGAGGAGGAGGAGGAGGAGGAGGAGGAGGAGGAGGAGGGAGGAGGAGGAGGAGGAGGAGGAGGAGGAGGAGGAGGAGGAGGAGGAGGAGGAGGAGGAGGAGGAGGAGGAGGAGGATGAGGAGGAGGGGGGGAGGGGGAGGAGGAGGAGGAGGAGGAGGAGGAGGAGGAGCAGGAGCATAAGGCTCTGTCCGCAGCGCCCTGGTCCCTCCCTGGGCTGTCCGGCAGGCCTCCGCTCGCTCGGGGGCGCCAGTGGCGCGGGCCACGATCTCGTCCCCGCAGGTGGTGTCTAGCTATCATCGCCTGCGGCGAATCACCGCCGCCCCCTGCCTTTGTTGGGGGGGAGGAGAAGCGACACCAACACCACCAGCCGGGGCACCTCCAGCGGGGAGGTACGCGATGCCACTCTGAGCTGGGGGTGGGGGATGTCCCGAGCGAGAGGGGGGACCACACCACCAGGGGACCCCTCCCTGGCTCCTCCGTCTGGTGCTCCCCGGTGGTGTTGGTGTCGGTTTTCCTTGTTCCTATTTTGGGAAGCGCCTGCGTGGCCGAAGGCTGGGTTTGAGCTTGGCCAAGCTATCAGGCCACGCGTTCCCCGAGTGGGTTTCGAAAGCCTTCGGGGAACGCGGGGTCGGGCGAGCTATCGGACCAGGTAGTTTCCGAGCTTTCGGGCCTCCTGGAGGACGTCTTAGAGGGGTCTTGGGCCGTCTTGGAGATCTCTTGCGTGCCTTTTGGGCAGTCTAAGGCCATCTTGAGGCCATCTGGGGCCGCCTTGGGTGCATATTGGGGCCATCTTCGCCGTCTTGGAGGCCCACTTGGCCGTCTTGGACGCATCTTAACGGCCATCTTGGCCGTCTTGGAGGCCATCTTCGGCGTCTTCGGGGCCATCTTGGGCCGTCTTGGGCTCTTCTTGGGGCCCTCTTGAGGGCCTCTTGGGCTGTCATGGCGCCATCTTGGAGGCCTCTTGGGCGCTCTTGGCACAAAGTTGGGGGCCTCTTGGGCCGTCTTGGGCAGTCGGAGAGCTGATAAGAAAATGCAAACATCCTTCAATAACCTAAGGAGCATCAATGATGTTTGCCCTTTCGGGCCTTCCTGGAGGACGTCTTGGAGGCCTCTTTGGGGCCTCTTGGCCAGTCGTAGGCCATCTTTGAGCCATCTGGGGCCGTCTTGGAGGCTTCTTGGACCAACTTGAAGGCATCTTGGACTATTTCGGGCCTTCTTGGATGCCATCTTGGACCATCTTTGGCGAGTTGGACGCCATCTTGGGTCATCTTGGAGGCTATCTCGGGCCAACTGACCATTTTAGAGGCCATCTTGAGCCGTCTTGGAGAATTCTTTGCGGTGGTTGAGGTTGTTGCCGGGCCTTTCCGGGACCCTGGCGGGATCGGCCGAAGCCCCAGGGAGAGTTCTTTTGGAAAAGATCCAAAGCCAACATCGAATGGATCTAGCACGCTGGGGGCTTTTGAGGTTTCTTGAGGGCCTCTTTGGCCGTCTTGAGGCTTTTCTGGTCCGTCTGACGCCGCCCCTGCCTTTTTGGAAAGCGCCTCTGTGGCCGAAAGTTGGGCCAGAGTTAGCCCAACATATCGGGCTAACTGTTCCCCAAGCCGTTGTAGAGAGCCTTCGGGGAACACATGGGGGAGGAGGAGGAGGAGGAGGAGGAGGAGGAGGAGGAGGAGGAGGAGGAGGAGGAGGAGGAGAAGGAAGAGGAGGAGGAAGAGGAGGAGGAGGACGAGGACCAGGACAACGGAGGAAGGAGGAGGAGGAGGCCTCTTGGGAGCCTCTTGGGGGAGGAGGAGCAAGAAGAGGAGGATGACGAGGAGGAGGAGGATGACGAGGAGGAGGAGGAGGAGGAGACGGAGGCCTCTTAAAAGCCTCTTGGGGCACTCTTGGGGCCTCCTGGGAGCTTCCTGGGGGCCTCTTGGAGGCCTCTTGGGGGACTCCTTGGGGCCCTTGGGGGCCTTTGGGGCTTCTTGGGGGCCACTTTGGCAGTCTTAGGACCTTCCTGGCCCGTCTGATGCCGTCGGAAGCCGTCGTGTGAGCCTCGCTGAGCCATCCAGGGCCTTTTTGAGACGCTTCAGGGCCGTCTTGGAGACCATCTTGGGCGTCTTAGATGCCTCTTGGGCCGTCTTGGGGCCGTCTTGGGGGCCTCGTGGGCCGTCAGGGGGCCATCTTGGAGGCCTCTAGGGCGATCTTGGGGCGAGGCGACTTTGGGGGCCTCTTGGGCCGTCTAGGACCGTCGGAAGGCCGAACAGGCGCAAATCCCAACATCTGTATAAAAAAGAAAAAACACGAGACATCCTTGATTTTAGCCTGTTCGGGCCTTTCTGGAGGACCTGTTGGAGGCCTTTTGGGCCGTCTTGGAGGCCTCTTGGAGGCCTCTTGGAAGCCTCTTAGGCCGTCTTGGGTCATCTTCAGGCTATCTTAGGCCGTCTTGGGTGCATCTTGGGCGGTCTTGGAGGCGTCTTGTTGAGGCCATCTTAGCTGTCTTGGAGGCCATCTTGGCCGTCTTGGAGGCATCTTGGAGTGAGCGAAGAAGCCGATGAGGCACGCAGCTGGCGGGACGGGGCGAGGCCCCAGGGGGAGTTCTTCTGGAAAAGAACCAAAAACAGCACCGAAATAATCTAGCACGCCAGGTACCCCTGTGCCCCTGTGATGAATCAACAGGGAGCGGCGGATCGAAGACGCCTACGGCGAATCACCGCCGCCCCCTGCCCCTTTGGAAGCTCCTCTGTGGCCGACAGCTGGGCCAGAGCTTTGCCGAGCTATCGGGCCAGTTGTTCCCCGAGTCGGTTTGGAAAGACTTCGGGGAACGCTTGGGGGCAGCACGATGAGGAGGAGGGGGGATGAGGAAAAACGAGGAGAGGTTTTTTGCTGCTAGAACCAACCTGGCACCACCTGGACTTGGTCAGCCTTCGGGGGAACTTGGTGGACGGGCGGGCACACTGAGAAGGTGCCACCACTCGCCCGAACACTCCGCAGTCCAGCGCTCTCTCCCAGTACACCTTAGGCGATGCTTAAGAAAACTTAAATTTTCGGCCAGAGTCTCGATTATTCTTAACGTCTCAATGACAATCTTAAGATTTTAATGGAAATGTTGTGTTTTTATTCACGTTCTGAGACTATGAATTTCTTAACCCATGGTTTCTTAAGCATCTCGCAGGGTGTAGGCCTCCCGCTCACACTGTAAGAGGGAGCGGCACGCCTTGCCCAGGGCGAGCTTCACGCTCTAAGGGTGCCTGCCTCGGCGCGCGAGCGAGCGGCGATCATAGTCCGCGGCCGTGTTTTTGCTGGCCGACCGCCGCACGCCGGAACCAGCTTGCACCCCCGCCCGCTCGAGAAGACATCTCTCCTCGCTCCTCCTCCTCCTCCTCCTCCTCCTCCTCCTCCTCCTCCTCCTCCTCCTCCTCCTCCTCCTCCTCCCCTCCTCCTCCTCCTCCTCCTCCTCCTCTCGCGTGGCATCGTCGAGCGCCCCTTGGAGGATCCCTTCCTGGACCTCCTCCTCCTCCTCCTCCTACTACTCCTCCTCCTCCTCCTCCTCCTCCTCCTCCTCCTCCTCCTCCTCCGGCCGAGGGCCTCACCGCGCAGGGCTGGCGGGAGAGAAGGTGCTCCCCCTCCCCCCGCCCCACGACGAGACGACGGGCCACCCGAACCTTCCCCTCTTACGCGGCTTGCGCCTCAGGGCCCTCTTGGCGCTGGGGGACAAGGCATACCTGCAGCAGACCGTGCACCTCCAGGTCCCCCGAGACCAGACCAGGGCGTGGGCTTTCTCCCCCGCTGGTGGGCCTTGGCGGCGCTGACGGGGCCCGACGGAGCCTGCGGCGGTCCTCCCCGTGGAGGCTTCGAAGCCCCCCGTCCGAGCAGCCGCCCCCGCCACCAGACTGAGCACCCCCCGCACCTCATCGGACCGCGAGGTCCAGGTGGCGCTCTTCCACTGGGGAATCGCCTGCAGATGGGCACCCGCCTTGGCCTCCGCGCCAGCTAACTGGTTCCCCTAGGAAACCGAGCTGCGCCCCAGGGGAATCGCCCCGAGGCCCACGGGCGTGGGCACGAACTCTCACAAAGGCAAAACCGCCGCCCCCGGGAAAACGCTCCTGAAGCAAGAGCCAGGCGCGGTGCCAGAGACCGGCGCGAGGCCGCTCGGGAGAGCAACGCCACTTGCGACCGCGCCTCCAACCTCGGATGGCGGTGCCGCTATCGACGCCGGCTCGGAGGGGGGGGGCGGCGCATTCGACGAGGGCCTTCATCAGACCATGAATCTCGGCACGGAGAACGGGCGCCCGGCATCGGAGCCCAGGGAGGGAGCCACATGCATGGCCCGAGCCACGGCCCCCTCCTCTTTCTCCTCCTGCTCCTCCTCCTCCTCCTCCTCCTCCTCGTTCTCCTTTTTCTCCTCCTCCGCCGCCTCCTCCTCCTCCTCCTCCTCCTCCTCCTCCTCCTCCTCCTCCCCCTCCCATTTCTCCTCCTCCTCCTCCTCCTCCTCCTCCTTCGCCTCCTCCCAGAAAAAAACATAACCCCAACCCAAACTCTTGAGCCCCGGCGGGCCCTCGCCCGAGCCGCCGGAGCAGGCCCAGCCGCTGACCCGGGGGCGGGTGGTCAAAACTGGGGTTTTCGGCCCCTCCCGGGCGGGCGCGCAGTCCAGGAAGGGATCTTCCAGGGGGCGCTCGACGATGCCGCGCGAGAAGAGAGGGAGGAGGAGGAGGAGGAGGAGGAGGAGGAGGAGGAGGAGGAGGAGGAGGAGGAGGAGGAGGAGGAGGAGGAGGAGGAGGAGGAGGAGGAGGAGGAGGA